CATGCCGTAGTCGTTAGACCATTGACCTCGCATCCCTACAAAGCCGGGACGGAGCACGCCGGGTTCTCACCGGACCAGGCTCTCACATCACCAAGCGCGAAGCGCCGTGAGATATTCGGCGAGTCGCATGAAGGGTGCGCTGCATCCTGCCAAGGGTGTTCGGCATCTTGTGCTTACTTCCTTGCGTACGGATGACAGCATCGTATGAATTAATTTATTTTCTGGTGCTTACACTTCCAGAGACAGTTGTAAGCACTGTGTAACTGCCTCGAGGATGCTTGACCATTTTAACACCACGTGGTGCGATCATCCCCCTTGCGCGGAGTGAGGGTTCTCCACCCCGCACAACATGATCTACTCGACCACCATTATGGTTACCGCCAAAACACCGGGGGGCGGGGGCGGCTTGTTTTGCAACGTCGTTGTCAAGCGACGAAAACCCAACCCCGATGGCAAACACCGGGGGGGAGGAATGGGGGAAGGGAAAACTCTACTAGGCGGGGGGGGACTCTGACGTTTACATTATGTCTTCTTGACTTTTCCTCCTTCCGCTGCCGGCTATGAAATACATAAGTTGGCCAAGTACAAACTTGTGTACTGTAGTTGTTTTCAACACGTCCCCGACTGCTGTACATCTCATTCCAAGTGTTGTGAATATGTTCGACGTCAACAAACGGTTGCCAGTCGTCCCGGCGATGCTGACTTTTCGTACCACACCCTTCCTTAGCAATAGACGCGTAGTTTGAGTTATAGCATGCCTCCATTGGCCCCGGGGATGGTAAGCTATCGTCCCCTCAATTTTTAGGACGCAACCCCGCGTCCAGGACGTTATTTTTTCGGGAAAACCCATGTGCGTTATTAAAGCGGGGTCGACTGTACGGACAGATGAAGGTACTGGATTGTAGAGAGATCGTAACGGTTTTTAATGTGATGGCAACAACAACGACATGCATCTGCTAATGTTGTAGGTCTCGGTGCTGCGTCGGGAGCTCCTGATGGAAAAGCACAAGAACTCACACCTGGAGGGAGAGCTGGTCAAGCTTAGGAAGTCTGCCGTAGAGATCGTGAGTGCTCTTGACACCCTCTGACGTTCTTGCCCCTCCCGCTGGTTTGTTCTTCGCACACGGTCTGGTCCTTGGGCAACCCAGACATGCGTCCATTCCCCGGGGATCAGAGCCGGTAGCCTTCGCCAGGGTATTTAACCCTGCTTTTAGCAGGGGGCCGGGGGTTAGGGATAGGGGTAGGGATACTGAACCCCTATCAGAGCGATGGCTCCTGTGCTTTTGCGCGCGCGCGGGGGGGTTGTTGTCAAGCGTATGAATGTGAATCGAGCAATGGGTTGGCCTCGTCTGCCCCACAAGCCAAATGGACAGCTTAATACCTACCTGATACGTGCTTCGCGGAGCAGAGCAATGGTTCCTGCCGAAGCATGGGGGAGGGGGGGGTTGTCAAGCGTATGAACTTGAATGGAGCATGGGGTGGCCTTTTCTGCCCCAACTGACAGCTCTTCTACTGATATAGCGGAGATTTTGGGTAGAGTACATGCTTCCGCGGACAGCCCATATACCGCGGTTGCGTACGGTCATTTCGCCGGTTACGGCGGTAGGTTAACCCCGAGTTCGAAACACCATGGCACAAGTATCGCGGCCCTTTTTCCAATTTCCGCTACTTTGCCAAGGCCAGTTTCACCCCAGTTCGCCCCTCCGCCGTCCCATCCCATCCACACCGTGTCGGACGGCTTTTTCCGTGTACCATGCACTTCTGTGTTTCGTATGGGGGGGGGTTTCGGTGTCCCCATACTATCCCGCCGCGGCATCGCTCTCGCCGCTGTGCTGATTCTTCGCGTTTCCACCTCCTCTCTGGACACCGCGTGTGCTTTATTGGTATTTCGATTCGGCGCTTGTGCGATGAGCAGAGCCAGCAAGTGGAGGCGGAGGAAGAATGCCTCATCAACCGGGTGAGTAGTCGGACAGATACGGATTCCGGATCTCGTGTGGCCCAACCCCCGCATGGTTCTGCCTTTTCTTGTAGGAAGGGGTGACAGTGTGTGGTGGCTTGGCGGGGGGGAGGTTGGGGCAGTAGAACCGCCTCATATTTTTGTTGGGAAAAGTGGCCCATTACCAAATACCGGGAGGTTCTATCACCAAATTAGCACAACAGCAGTGGCACCGGAGAGGGGGCGGACAAGGCGGATTCACCATCAAAGAGACCATTTCCGTTCAACGGAACTATTGTCAAGGAGTACGAGACGGGAGGGATTTCTCGAGAACAACCATCGGGCCGTGAAACGCGACACACGGGGCGAGAGCGTCCGAGCGGTTGAAAGAAGGGATATGGGAACCGTGTAGAGGGAGGGGCACATGGACGAGACCATGGCATCTTTTATCATGTCTGATGGCTTGTTCCAACATGCACGGACCTACATATTTTGTTTCTGTTGGTCGAAAACGTTGAGCCGGTGGTCATTCTCAAACGACAAGATACCTAC